TAGAGTAAAGATGGATGAGACTATCAATAATCACTAGACCTTGACCTGCCCGATCGGGCGGGTATTTATTTTATGTATGTATTTATATTAAATGATGTATTTATAATATTTAAACATAAACTTTGATTGAAAATTAATTTTTACAGTTATAATAATTCAATTTAAATTTTTTTAAAAATATTCTGATATAAATTTTAAATTTCTTAATTAAAATAATATAAAGGTGGGCAATAATTTTTTCCAATTCCAAATTCTTATCATCCCTTTAAAAAAATTATAAATACTTAAAATATATATAAATATGTGTAACTATAACTTCTATAATTTCTTAAAGAAAAATAACATATTATTTCTTACAAATAAATATTAAAATATTGAATATGTTAATACCGAATATATTAGGAAATTTATTTTGGTTAAGATTTGACTAAGGAAATCTATTATTTAAACTATGAAAAGATATTAAATACTTAAATCTATTATCTAAATTAGGAAAAGACAAGCATGCTTAAATATAGGTTCAATAAATATCTCAATGCCATTCTATTGTAAATAACTGATAAAAATAAGGGTTATTTCTATTTGGTACTTCTTTTTTAATAATGTAGATGAGCCTTAGCATTGTTTTTTGTTTTCACGTGGGTGACAAGTTTCTACAACTGCAAATTGCAAATTTTTTATGATGGTGTTTGTTGTCACTGGAAGAAATTATGGGTGAGAGAGCAAATCAGTCTACGGAAACTTTTGAACCAAATAGTCAATCCACTAAAAATGGTGAGACTATCGAAGAGTAAGTGGAAATCATCAAAGATCAAAAGAAGAAAGGTGATGTTATCAAAGGTATTCATAATTTATATTTTGATACAATTTATTTGGTATCAAAATATTTCGCTGAACTCATGTAGAAGACAAAAACACATTAAAGAAGATGTACCCTTTTTGTTGTATGGCGATATCCATACAATCGTTGACAAATGGCCTTATCATATTATTTTTTAACGGTGGAATCAATAAATTGGATTCTAAACCGAAGAATATATCTAAATGTAAACTGGAGAAGGCCAGTGTAATACAACAAAGAGAAATGATGTTCATAATGTGACAAAGAATCAAAGGTCATAACTGTAGTCGGATGTTCTCATCATTTTACTTCCGTAATTTGGTGTTTTTCATTATTATAATAATGTATGTATTTTTTAATCTATTTATTATCTGATTAATAAACTTAAATTGAAAAAAAAAAATTGTACAGTGAAAATTTATATTAGAGATTTTACTGTATAAAACCTTAAGATTTAAGATTATTTTTGGAGTGAACAAAGTTGTAAAGAAGTTTTTGGAGATGCTATAAGCGGCCGTTTACAACGCTTTCTTCAACATTGATAATAAAGGTTTGTTGGAGTATTGCTTGATTGCCTAGTTTGGAGACTCAACGCACTTACTTTTTTTTCTTAAAACTCGTTTAGGGTTTATAAATTTGATATAGTGGATATTGTGTATATGTAGTAAATCTAGTTACAATAAAAAACAGTTGTGACTTTTCATTTGAAAAAATGAAACCATGGAAACATGTGCTTCCGGTCTGTTTACAATAAAAACAGTTGTGACTTATCATTTGAAAAAATCTCTTAGTCGGCAATGACCATCGTAATTATAGATAGGTGAAGGATTCAACAGTCTTTAGGTGTTTTACCCATTATTTTTATAGTTTTTGAGCTTTCAGCCCATAATAATCAGGGCTAGACTTGAGTAAACCAAAATAAAAATATGTTTTTATATAGTACCTTTAGTTCTTTCTCTTTTTTTTTCTGACAACGAAAAATATATGAATGTATACATTATTTTAGGGTTTATTACCGAAAAAATTTCTTAAAATGTTTCATCTTGCAGTTCACATCCTTTATGTACTATAGCACAAGTTACATGACAAATAAAAATCTGACACATGGCAATGGTTTAAAATTTAAATTAAAAAATTAAAAACTAGATAAAATCAAAATCTATTATATCTCTCCTACTACTTCATGATCTCAAAATCTCTGAAACGTTAGCCTTTATGTTGAGGTCAAAATCGGTTACGACGGAATCAACGACCAAAACTCTTTGAAAAGTTCAAAATAGGTTTATAAAAATACGAAAAAGCACCAAGGAAAATTCTAAAGATTCTCCGAACAAAGGAGCTCCGTAAACTTAACAATCTCCATCATGGAAATCACCGGAAAATCAAATAAAACAACCCACGATTGTTCGACAAGCCAATTTAGCAAGATCGGCCGTAACGTCCAACTCGCTAAAGCGCCGAGACTGTCAAAGACCATCCAGCTCGCCAAGCCGGCGAGTTGGCCGAGCCCTACCAGTTCGCCATCCTGGCGAGCTGGACCGTGCCATCAAGCTCGCCAAGCCGGCGAGCTGGCCTTCCAAAACCAGCTCGCCCTCTTGGCGAGCTGGCCGTTCCGAACCAGCTTGACGTCTTGGCGAGCTGGACCGTTCCATCCAGCTCGCCAAGCCGGCGAGCTGACCGTCCCGAACCAGCTCGACGTCCTGGCGAGCTGGACCATGCCATCCAACTCGCCAAGCCGGCGAACTGGCTGTCTCAAACCAGCTCGATGTCTTGGCGATTTGGACCATGCCATCCATCTCGCCAAGCCGGCGAGCTGGCCGTCCCGAACCAGCTCGACGTCTTGGCGAGCTGGACGTCCCAAACCAGCTCGACGTCTTGGCGAAAATATGGAGATCGAGATAAATGGAAGATTTCCGATAAACATGAATAAAGGCAAAAATGTAAAGACTAAGCTGCCTAGAAGAGGAGTATATAAGCACAAGGTCGAAGCCAAGAAGACACGTTCTCAGAACTCCCATCACCTAGAAAAACTTAGCACTTAGGATAAAAAGACAACTTTCTGTTTTTGTTATTGAGCTGCGTCTCAACTAGAGTTTTAGTCTTAAGTCGCTAGAACTAGGGAACTCGCCGTCAGCTCTTGTGACCAAGGTTTTACCTCGTTTTACCGCTCTTACGCTGATTCGGATTAAGAACTCTCTTTGCTCTTTTTTTTTCGATTCTCATATTTTTTCGTCCGTTTATTTCATATATTTGATTGCTTGACGTGTGGTTAAACAGACATCTGAGACCTCTAGAAAAATTAGGTTAATGTGTTAATTTATGGAAATCAACAGTGAAATTTTGGTTCCCGCACTTTCTCTTTATAATACTTGACTCACGATGCTATAGATTCTTCTCGACATGGGATCGCTCCATTGAATCTCTTTTTTTTTCTTTTTCTATGAGAGTTTAATAAAACTTCAATTTCTAATAAGATAAATGAATTACTTCTAATGATTGTATCAACACTGCCAAGAATATAGTTCTATGTCTGGGTTGACATGTTCTCGGGCCAAACAGTAGCACAAAAATACTCTTCAAAAAAAGATCTTTAAAAGAAGAATCATTAAAGGAAAAATAATTAAATAATTAGTGGATCCCATAAAAAATTAATGATTTGATCCTTAAAATCTCTAAATAAAGACGGTTTCTTAGTGAATTTTTACACTATTTGCGATTTCCCATAACACATGCCGACCCACAATTGGTTAATATTATTTTATTTTTCTTTAACATCTGAAAAAAACAAAAAATTAATAATTAAAAATTTAAAAAATACTTTTTTTTAAGGACTCCAACATATAACGTCGTTGGAGATGCTCTAAGATCCAGGTTAGTGAGACTAAAAAGTAAATACGTCTAAACTTTTTAATACTCAAATTATTATTTATGTCATGTTGATTTTTCATGAACTTTTTCTTTTCCAACCTACTTAATTATGATTTTTCTTTTCCTTTTTATATTTTGTATGTTGGCAAAAACTACATATTCATGCAATATTATGATAAAAAGGTAAAGGTCATTAGGTCACTATCGTTTTAAAAATTGACTAGATTAATTCTCGATAAGCTTGAAAATGTTTATTGGTTGCAGTGGTGATAATTTGAGAAAGGAAAGTAGGAAGCTCACCGTAAGGATTTGTAACCTAAACTTGAGAAGCACCACAAGAAAAAAAAATGTGGTGATAACTAGAATGAAAAAAAATTGTGGGACTTAAATGGTAGATGAAACGAGAAGGAATCTGATGTCTACTTTCTAGATGAAGACCTTATCTTAGGTTAGTTTTGAAATATTTTATATATGTTTTAAGATTGTATAGATATATTGTTTTTGTTTATCTATGAGTAACATAAACGTTTTTTAGTTTTCTTATATAATGTCAGTGATTCTACAAATATGGTCAACATTCTTTGTTACAAGAGCCTGAAATTCATATAATATTTTGTTGGCTGGGAAAAAGAGAAATCAACTTTTATATTGTGGGTCTATACTTAGGTGTTGTAAACTATAAACAGTATTTTTTTTTAGGTTTAGCGCTAATATATAACCCTCAAATAACATTTCTTTTTTTTTATTTATAAATTTTAGTATTTTACTTATTTTATTTAAAAAAATATATGTATACATAAACCAATGCCCGTGCATAGCACGGGATTGAATACTACTGTTATATAAAGATTATGCGCAAAATAATAGAGTTTTCAATTTCAATGAAATACATTTGGAAAAAAATAAGACATAAATTTAAATGTAAAAATATACTTTGTTAAAATTTATAAGAAACAAGTAAAACAAAAACTATTGAAAATTAGACTAGAAAGAAACAGATAAAATTAGGTATCTGATTTTTTTTAATTTATATAAAGCTTAAAATCCTTTTTAATATTTATAAATAGCTTAAAAATCAAATTTCATATATATAAACTGCTTTTTTGGTGCACCAATAAACCAACTGCGTAAAAATCAAAATTTCAAATACGGAGGAAGTGAATGAATTTTAAAACCCACTCGAAATATAATCTGTCAAGCAAAAGTTTTCAAGTTTAATAAGCAATTTCTACAACTGTTCCACAGACACAAATAATGTATAAATAAAGATAGAATTTCTCTGGATGCTACTTCACATCGCAGAAACAACTGCTTCAGTGTCTAGCTTAGCTCTTTTCCTCGGTTGTTCAGTTTCTTCAATGTCCTCGGTAATCTCAGAATTTTCTTCAGACTCTGTCTCAACTTTTTCTTCATTCTCGTCTACGCTTGAGCCTTCACCTTCTTCCTTTTTCTTCACCTTCTCTATCACGTCCATAACTTCTCTGTTCACCTGTTTACACACAGTAACGTTATAATACTGGCACTTAATGTAGTATAGAATTTAGAGAAGTGTGTTGTTATATGGGAGAAAATATATCAACTCCATAAGACCAATGCAAGAAGAAGGGATGACGATGTTTACCTGAACGTTCTGAAGAAAGTCAGCAATGTCAGTGGAGCAACAAGGGCATTTCATTATGTTTTTCCTTGCACGAAGTGTGCGTCCACCTCTGCTTCTCTCTGTCACCAGAGTCTTCCCAACAAATTTACCTTCTAGACATTCCTTGCAGAAGTTATGTTGACAAGGCGTTGTCACAGGTAAATTCATCACTTGCCGACAGATTTGGCAACTAAATCCTGCATCAACAGAAACCAAACAACTGTTTTAGATGCCAGCAATCATTTTCTTTCAAGAGTCCATCAAACGACAATAGAAACTGATAATTGGTAAACAGCAGAAGAACCTTTCAGAAATTGTGCCTCCTTCATGGCTTTCCTCATAAGCTTCCTCTCCTCAGGATCCAAAATGTTAAGTGGCTGTTTGCTAGCAGGTGGAGGCTTCATCCATTTCCAACGACCCTCAACTTCCTGATCAAGTAAGCGTATCCACAGGTACATGGATGAGATTACAGATAAGGTAAAAGAAAATCTAATATCTGATCACACTCCGAATGCTAAAATTAATGTCTTCTAACTTACATCAAAATCCCAAGATGGAGTTTCTGTTCTCTCAAACAGGTCTATTGCCTTCTCAAGCTCTGGGATGTCAGGCAAAGGTCTTGGACGATCTCCACGCTCATCGCTGCAGTATAACAAACAGCGTTAGACCCAAACAGAAAATAGAGAAGAAGACCTTTCAAGAAGTATATCAAACCTGGTCCATGGAGCAGGCTCGTTATCACATCTTACAAAAAGGTAACGACAGACCTTGAAAATACCCTAGAGAAAACCGAAGAATAGGTCAGCATAATAATCAACCTCTGCACAGACGGAACAGGTAGAAAATTATGGCTGTTTTAAGCTGTATGCATACCTGCACTCCTATTTTTATCCAGCACTTCTCAACCCGGTAAACACCATCATATCTCACTCCTGCCTTAGGCGCATATGCAGACCTTTCTTCTTTGCAAGTTCTTGTTATTTATGAAGAAAGAAATTAAAAAGTTAGGATCGCTTCGGTCAGAGTTATTCAAAGCAAATAGTTAAAAGTAGAAAATGTAACTAAAACTATGATATCAAGTGAACAGCCCAGTTATCTTGAAATGTAACTGCATAAGGTTTAACTCAACTCTTGGACAAACAAACCTTTTTTTATTCACTTCATATAGTAATTTTGACGCAAAGAAAAGCATTCCATATTTTTATTGTAGGAAAGCTAAAGTACTGTAGTAAAAGCTAACCTGACAACGCGAACAGGATAACCCATTTTGCAACTAAGTCTTAAAGCTTCATTTGTGTTTGTAAATTTCTGATCAGAGGTCTGTTCTTTGTTAGTCCTTCTGTTACGGCTGAGGTCTCTTCCTCCACTATGACACATTCAAACATATTCAAGATAAAACCAAGACAATGAAGCAAGTCAGGTAACAATAAACAATAATGAAATGTACCAAAAGCAAAGAGTAATGAAAGGAAAATAAAAACAAACCTTCCTGTGTACAGAAACCATTCACCATGATCCTCGTCGTCATCATAACCACCAGAGAGTGCTACGGACTGAGCTCCATGTTTCGACTGTCCAGCGATCCCAGCAACAACGGGGTAGTGAGCACCCAACTGCCTACAATCAATCCTATATTTCCAGGATTCACCAACTAAGAGACCTTGATTTCTGACAGGGTCATTTTCAGCCGGAATAGGACCAAAATGATCCGGTGGTGTCGTAACATATATCTTGCCACTTGCAGCATTTGCCTTGCCGGTTTTTTTGGCGCGCTCAGTTGTATATGCTTCATCTGGTCGGTTTTCATTGCTGACAAAATGGTAAGCGTTTGAAGTAGTCGGAGCAGCAGCAGCTCTCGAAACCTTGGCCAGACGGATAGCAGTAACAAGAGAAGAGTTGATCCGAGGATTCTTTGCCACTTCGTTAGAAATTACACGGCGGCATTTTGCATAAGTTTTATTCCCTTGACCAATCCATTTTACGAAACATTTCAAACAGAAATTGTGCCCGCATGGCGCCTGCAAAAAAAAAAATAAATACACAAACACGAGCAAATACTCAAAAGCCAAACTTGATGAAGAGAACTTTACAGTGGCAAAATAAAAGAAACAAGTGTAGATTAACTATCAACAAACAGTTATTAACAATGTAGTGATTGAAATGGAAATCTCGCTATATATAAATCATAAATGTATGTGAACTCTCACTTATTGACCTAGTTTATCACAAATAGTATGCACAAATAAGTCAATGTCTTTTATATAAACATCAAAAGGAACGTAAACAAACAATGAGAAAATCGAGATCGATATATTATCATACCCAATAAAGTTTCAACACTTAAAATAGATTCGAGACTCACAAATTCACCAGGCTAGCACTAGATTCTTCCACTAAATTATCAAGCACAAGAGGCAATCAATGTACTAATAGACCAAAACTTCAACAAAAGTGTACACATAAACAATTATTACCAAAAAATAGCCCAAGCATAAGAGCCAAAGCAATCTACTAATAAATACACAATCTATGAGTTAATTAAGCGAGCTCGAGTTAATAAATCTCAAGTGACAACAATCACATATCAAATAGGCGAAATCCTAAATAAGATTCAAGACTTTTAACATGCAAATCAATTTTAACCCTAATATCAGCATATGATCATACCGTGACGGGCCTTTCAGGTAACTGAATAGAGAAAGAACATTTCAAGTTATCACCAAGAGCGGCCAAGATATCAGCATCAAGACTACTATCTTCTTCTTCTTCTTCATCATCATCAACAGCGGCTTTACCACTCATAAGCTGTTGCCTCTTCTTCGCCTTCTCCTCGTCCGTCAAAGACACGTCTGACTCGATCGCGCGGATCGCTGCCACGATTTCTTATCTGACGCCATCTCCGGGAACGGGGAGATCATCGAAATCGCCGGAGCAATCTGGGCATTCCCACTGTAGAGTGGAAGCGAGGGACGCAGGAGGGGATGTAAGGCAGGGCACGTGCCAAGGAGTACCGCACGTGAGGCACGTGAGGCAAGTGAGAGATTCCTCGGTTAGAGGGATCGTCTTGCAGCGCATGCATACTCCTTCGCCGTCGGAAGCCATCTCGATGATAAGAGAGAGAGAAAGATATATGGAGAGAGAAAGTGTTTGTTGCGAGAATATAGGTTTTGACGAAGAGATATATATATATAGGTGTGGAGAGTATATTGGGGGAATTTAGAGGGACACCAAAAGTGTATAGTGGCGGCATTTTTTATTTTCTTGAATTTCAAACCTTGCCAAATGTTAAAATCTTTTCTTTTTTCCAAGAAATAATCTACAAAATTGGCATAAAATCAAAAATTAGTCAAACCAAATTCTTTTTTAAAAAAAAGAAGGTCAAACAAAATATATTCTAATATCTTTTTCAGATTTCTTAAAAATATTTCTAAATTATGTTTATACATTGGGATTTAGTGAAATTAGGGTATAATTTTGTTTTATGTATTTTTTTATCTATACTAAACACAAGGCATTTTTTTGAGGTCCCCTTGATTTTTGGAAATATTTACAGATCTTTGCCACTGTATTATTTAAAACCTATAGTTTTTATTAATTATTTTTCCACCAAATCTTTTTCCAACAATATATTTCCTTAATTATCTCTCCATTTTAATTTTAATAACAATATTATGACACTGATTTAAACTACAAAATCAATATTCCTAAATGTCGCCAATTATGGTGATAATTATAGAAATATCATGTTTATTAATTACCTTAATATATTTGCAATTTTTATTTATAATTTGCTTTTTTGACTATATGGTAAAAAGTAACTATTCCTAATGATATAAAAAAGCATTTTTAAGCAAATACGAAAGTACTTAATGTTAAATAGTAATTTGCTGTTATATAACAGATTATAAAATCATGAACCAAGCATAATATATGTACACCATTTATGCTAATAACTTATCTTTCAAGTAAATGTAATGTAATGTAGTAGGACTTTCGTTTTATAACAAACAAACATGTAAAATAAATAGATATTTATAGCGCATCATAATTTAAATTGAAATATAGTTCTTATAGTAGTTCATCAAATAAAAAAGTAAAGAATTTTCATTTTATTTATACAATAAATATGTAAAATAAAACACCTAGAACTTAAATTGTTATAAACCTTTTAAAAATATTTTATAAAAAATTATTATAAAGAACTAACGAATTTAAGAGTATACATTTGTTAGAATGTAACAAATAAATTAATATGTGAGATAATCTCTTCAACTAGATAACTTATTAAGAATACTTCGTAATAGCATCATTTAAAATATTTCTCCTCTTTGCAATTATCTTCTTCATTACGACGAGATTTGCATCCAAACAAATATGAAAACAAATGTTAATCATATAAGAATAAAAATGGTGATATTAAGAATATAATCTAATAAAATGAATATAACTTGGATTATGCAGAGATTTCAAAATGATAACAAAACTTAATTGTTTTCATATTTATCTAAATGAGTATTATCTTTTAATTTGAAATTAAAATAAATAGAAAGAAAATATTGTTTGGTTTATACATTTCAAATTAATAGTTTTGCCTATCATATCTAACTATAGTTCTAATTAATCAATATTACTTTATTTATATATTAACAAAAACTAAATTCTCATTTTTTCACATATGTTTTGGCATATACTTTTATTTTTACATATTAAACTTCCTTTACTATATATATGAGTCATATTATGTTCTCTACTATGAATATAGCTTAAGTTTAATATATATAAGGGTCAAAATTTTCATTTGTTATATAGTTTACGGACAAAAATTCATTTTTCATATGTACTGGAATAAGATAAACTTTTTTTAATGTGTTCATTTTCTACAGGTCAAAAAATATTTATCAAGTTACAAACGGCTTGAACAAATAGATTTTTCATTTCTATTATGAACTAACAAACGGGTTAATAGTATTATTAACAGAAAACAATTCTGCACTATCAAAGTGCGGGTCAAAATCTAGACTATTATATTGTAAACATATATATGTGCCAAACTCGACTGTCTTAAACTAGGATTCTGCCATTGAAATAAATATATTTAATATTTAATTTATTAGATGTAGTTATTATTTATCCCTATTAGTTAACCTAACAAATATTATTTGTTGTTAAATGCATCTTTGATTGAAAGCATATATTCTTATTTGGAGTATTTATTTTAGAAAGTGAATCTTTGTTTATCAAGTAGCAATAAATATTTCACATCATAAAATGAAGTTTTTATAATTAAACTTCTTAAATTTTTGGTTTCAATTAAAATCAAATAAATACAACAAATTATGATTCTTTCAATATATATATATATATATATATATATATATATATATATATATATATATATCTGTGTGTGTGTGTGTGTGTGTGTGTGTGTGTGTGTGTGTGTATGTGTGTGTTGTTAACTAATTAAAATTTTATGCATAATTTTTTTTTTGAATGTAAAAGTTCAAAATGAATATGTCAACCTATTTTTAATATACATAAAACCATATCTAACATTTTTCTTCTACATCACGGTTTCTACCAAGTAAATAATAGCAATCATAAAAAACTAAAATTTAAGTCTAAATCAAAAATAAAACCAGTAATAAATTATCAATAATAAAAATTAAATAATACTCAAAAATGAGTAAATTTTTTTGGTGTTCTCTATTGCCTTTATCTTCTTTTTTTTATCAGACAACATAGTACTTCTTTTAGTAAAGAATCAAAAATCAAATATACTATTCAATTTCATGTACTCATTTTAAAATATATAAAATTTTGATCAATATTTTTAGATCACCAATTTTATCTTAGTTTTACACGGGTCAATTAGTGCTAGGTGACATGTTACTAACGTATTTTCGATTCTTACCAAATTTTATAGAAATTTTAAACAGCGATGAATTAGTTAAATCCGAACTGAAATATATACATATCACTAAGTTTAGTTTCTCAATCTCAAACCCGTGTCGGGTATGAAAACACTGCTCAACACAATTATAAACGTATTAAGTTGCAAAATTTTAACACATGTAATTTTATAATTATCAAATGTTTGTTTCGTATAAATCAATTTATAAAGAAATATATCCCGCTCTTGAAAAGATATGTGGTAGTCGCATGTCCAAGATATATTAAAGAGATATTGTCGGTATATTTGTGTTGGGCTTGGGTCGTTAATATGATGTATTGATTTATTTACGGGTTTGCAATAATCATTCGCGGTTGTATTTTGAATTTTTATGTTATTTTCTTATATAATTGTTTTGATAGTCATATTTTTAAACACACTATATAATACAATGCCAATTTTTATGACCATAATTTTAAAATAAACAGTCGGTTGTATCTCTATTTATTTTTATATGACAATAATATCAACCAAATTGTTTATAATAGTATCCTAAAATTATTTATTTTTTTATAAAAAATAAGTTTGAACTCAAAATATAAACTATTAGAAATAAATACTTTAGATTATCGAATAGAACTCATAATTTCATCGGGTCTCTAAAATTTGTTATCTAATAAGAAAAATTAATCTTACACCACACATTAAATTGTATGTAATCGTATTTAATCTATATATGGTGGACCAAACCAAAATTATTAACGACAATCTATCTGAACTCGGATACTCATGTATACATACTTGTAAATAATCAAACAAGAGAATAAATTTAAAGCAAAAACGGTTGTCCCGCCCTCTTTAAGGGCGGGTCAAAATCTAGTTTTTATTTATTACCGAAAGATAGTTTGTTTGTCATGAACAAAAATTTTGGTTTCTTTTTTTCTACATTTTAAAAAAAAATCATGATTAATTAAGGTAGATTTTATAATTTTAATTAAATAAACTAGATCTTTTCATTTGATTGAACTATTTAAATTTTGACAGTTGAATAATAGAAACGGCTTTAGAACTAATAAAAATATTGAATTGTTGGCTTTAGAACTAATAAAAATATTTTTTACAGGAAGAAACAAATTAATAAAAATTTAACAAGCAAAAAATTTAGTCATTTTTAATATAAGAAGAGAAAACCATTTAAGCAAAAAATGAATAAAAATTTTCTAATGAGAAACAGTAATATTCGAACTAATCATGGATCATTATGTGAATATGATACCATTTAGGGATAAAATAGTTCCATGAAAACATAAAATATCATATATTTTATAATCATTTATCAAAATAATAAAAATATTTGTAATTTGATAATGAAAATATGTTTTCAAATCTCTCATATTATAATGATCAATAATTTTGAAGTATGTATCTGGTGGATAAATAATACTCTCTCTGTTTTATAAAGAGTGCCGCTTTGACATTTTTCACACAGATTAAGAAAGTTTTTGGAATGCGTTATATTCTTATTAATTATACATATTCAACCAATGGGATTTTTAGAAACTAAAATTATTTATAGAATCAATGCATTTGCAATTAATATTTAGTTCAAAATTGTAATGAAATTCTAAAGTGACACTTTTTGTGTAACAAAAAAAAATGCTAAACTGACACTTATTAAGAAACAGAAAGAGTATAAATTAGCATCTTCAAATCTCAGCCTAAAGATAGAAAATTGATTCTTAACAACGTTTAGTAAATTTTACATTAAATTGCATTCAAATACAATTAGAATTAATTAAATCTAATAACACTAGAATTTTAAAGAATTGGTGAAATCCACCATTGAATAACACAAGAATTTAATGGAAAGGTGTTTGTGGGACTTAGATTTCTATAGAGTTTGTTGATTTTAAGAATTGAGTGATTTGTTAAATTTGGAAAGAGTTGTAGAGAATTTTGTATATTGTAAAAATCTATGAAAATAAAGTATTATAATGGTTTTAAGAATCCAAAGGATATATGGAATATTTTCAAAATCTTGTTATGTGAGTTAAAATGTTAAGAATATAACTCCCAATAACACTTACTTTCATAGATTTGTAGAATTATTAAAATCTAAACTTTTTGAATAACAAGAGATTTTGTATAGAATTACAAAATCATCAAACGAATAACACTAAACTTTAATGAAAATGTAAGAATCAATCAACTA